TTACGGATAAAAGTTCTATTGATGAAAACAAGGACTTTAATAAGTGGGATTGTTCAAACCGCATGAGTCTTATGATCATGAAGCGTAGTATTCCAGAATCATTCAGGGGCGCTGTGTCCGATAAGGTAACTACTGCCAATAAATTTCTTGCTGAAATTGAAGAAACGCTTTGCAAAGAGCGATAAGGCTGAAACTAGTACGCTTTTGGCATACTTAGTTTCACTAAGGCATAAAATCAAAGGAAATATTTGGGAGTACATTATGGAGATGTCTCATATTGCTTCAAACTTAAAGGCTCTAAAGCTTGAGCTATCTGATGATTTGCTCATGCATCTGGTTTTAATTTCTATTCCTGCACAATTCAAGGTCAGTTATAACTGTCAAAGGGATAAATGGACTCTAAATGAGCTCATTTCATACTGTGTGCAAGAAGAAAAAAGGCTAAAGCAAGAAAGGACTGAAAGTGCTCACTTGGCTAGTACCTCTAAGGACAAGTTAAAGAAAAGAAAGAATAAGAAAGCTGCATTCGGTTCGGTTCAAAATTAACAGCGAAATAAATTTAGTTGTAAATTTTGTGAAAATCTGGGATATATAAAGAGAGATTGTGCTAAATGCTACGCTTGGCGTGTAAAGAAAAGTACATTTCTCACTTTGGTTTGTTTTGAGGTAAATTTAATGTCAATATCAAGACACACTTGGTGGATAAATTTCGGTACCACCACTTACATAAGTGTGTTTATGCGGGGTTGTCTGAGCTGCCAAAGCCAATTGATGCTGAAAGATTCATCTATTTGGGGCGATGGCAAATCAGTTAAGGTTGAGGCTTTACGGAATTTAGGTTATCATTAAAGACTGATTATTATTTGAATTTGAAAGAGACATTTACGGTACCGTCCTTTTGGATGGAATTTGGTTTCTATTTCTACATTGGACAACTTTGGTTACTCTTGTTCAATTAGAAATAGTCAGTTTGATCTTTTTCTTAATTCAAATATTGTGGGTGTCAGTTCTTTATTCGGTTACGATAACCTATATTTGTTTAATACAGTTGCCTCTTATAAAGAAACCTTGTATATGGATTCACGTGGTATTGAACATAAATTAACCAATGAGAATTCTGCTTTGTTATGGCACAAGCGATAAGGTCACATCTCTCAAAAGAGAATGGAAAGATTTGTGTCAGAAAGAATTCTTGATTCCCTTGATACTTTCAGACTTAAGTAAATTATATTAAGGGAAAACAAACAAACATAAGGAGATTAGGTGCCAATAGGACTTCGGATGTCTTAGAACTAATTTATACGGATATCTGTGGATCATTCCCTTCGGCTTCTTGGAATGGTCAACAGTCATTTATTTAGTTCATAGACGATTTTTTCTCAATATGGCTACCTATATTTCATCTATGAGAAATCCCAAACACTGGACATGTTCAAAGCATACAAGACTGAGTTCGAAAATCGACTCAGTAAAAGAATTTAACAAGTCAAATCTTACCATAGTGGTAAATACTATGCCAAGATATGACGAATCAGGAGAACAATGTCCAGGACCTTTTGCAATATTCCTAGAGGAATGTGGAATTTACCCACAGTACATCAGGATCCTCCTAGGTTTAAAGCACTAAAGACTGCAGCTTAAAGTCTCAACAAAGTTCCAAGTAAAGTAATTGTTAAGGGGTTACAAATTTTTAAAGGTCCCACTACCAGGTCAATTTTCGAAACGGGAAATGTTCGATTTCTTGAGGATGTAGAGTTTGTGAGGGGAGATAAGGTTATAAGGTTATGATTTTGTCTTAGATGAAGAATATTTATATATTCCTTCTGTTGCAATTGACAATGATTTGGTTCAGGGACAAATTCTTGCTCCAGATCTTGTTCAAGAAGCAATTTCGGATCAAGACAATATTACAAAATCCCCCATACACAATCAAGAGATTGTTCCAGAAAAACAAACTCAACAACCTCAAGAACAAATGTCATTAAGGAAATCCACTATAAAAGAAGAAAGACAATTCTGGATAACTTTATAGTCTTTCTCCAAGAAAATAAGGATGACATGGATTGACGAAAGAATGACTTATCAATCAACTTTCATCAAGCCATGCAAAGGAATAATTCTAAAGAGTGGATTGATGCCATGCATAAAGAGATTTTTCTTCGGTTTCTATGAAAACTCTTTTAGGACAATTATGGCTTCTGTGACATATTTTGGTCTTAAGTTGCATTAGATGGTTTACAAATTAAAGAAATCCATCTATGGGCTTAAGCTGGTTTCCCGAATAGGTATCACAATTTTATCAAATAATTATCTCATTTGGTTTCGAGATACATTCAATTGATGATTGTGGATATCACAAGTTCAGTGGGAGTAAGCAAATCTTTGTGATGCACCTTTTGTATTAAGGATATAGATACACAAGAATTGTTCTTGGTGTATTTTTGGGTAATCACAAAAGAGTTGTATCAATAAGGTTCTTAAAAGATTTGTAATGCAGATATGAAAATCAAGTAATACCCCTACAATTAAGGGAGACAACTTTAGTCTCAATTAATGCCCCAATGATAAATTTAAAGATAAAGGATATACATCAGATTCTCTATACTTTGGCAATTGAGAATTTAATGTATACTCGGGATAGCACACATCCGGATATAGTATTCTTTGTTGGAATGCTAGGCAGATATTTAATTAACTTGCGATGGAAATTTGGAAAGCAGCCATCAGGTTATTCGGTATCTATAGAGAACAAAGGATTACATGATCACATTCAGGAAAATCAGACCAATTGGAGATCGTTGGATATTCTGATTTTGATTATGGAATTTGACTGTAAAATATTGTCACTAGGCTGCACATTTTGGATGGAAATGAAAGACCACTTAAGTTATTTTGTGACAATAACAGTCTTGTATTCCAATAGGAATATGATGATGTCAAAATTTATAGACATTAAGTTCTTAGTTGTTAAGAAAAGAATTCAGAGTGGTTACGTTTCTATAAAGCATATAAGGACAAACTCTATAATTATGGATCTATTTACTAAATGACTACCACCCAAGGTCTTTCATGAGCATGATGCTCACGTGGGTGTTACATCTTTTGATGACATGTCAGTTTAGTGGGAGTTTGTATTTTCCATGTTGTCTTTTTGACACATAATTTTGGTTGTGCATATTCAGTTCATTTCAGCAATAAAGTATTCAGTTCAGTTACACTCTAATTAAAGTTTATGATTGATCTCATAAGGTATTAAGGAATAAAGTAGGACCAGTTGAAAATATGCATGTTTAGATCACATTACATGTAATTTTCATACTACACATCCACATTTGATCTACGTCATTTGATTGTATTGATGTACGTGACCATTGATGGGTTTAGTTACGTTACTTATAACGAAGACCGCTTTGATCCTATGTTGATATAATCAATGGACGAGATTGTTCGGAGATGCTTTTTGTTATGATAGCAAAAGTTTTGAACTCATAAGGTTATACACATTTATAAGGTAACATATGTGGCCCAAGTGAGAGATTGTTGGGAAATTATTTAATTTGCCATGATGAGCCGACATATGTAATTAACTGTGTATAAATGTTACCTTAAAGTTAGACCCAAAAATTCAAGTGATCTAATAAGGAATTAAGTAATTGGGCTTTAAGCATCTAAATACAGTGTGGGCCGAACTATATGTATAGAGACCAGATCCATTAAAATTTATGGGCCTATTTGGTACAGATTCTCATTTTCTACAGTAAATCAATTCTCATTTTCAACCACACATTCTTCAATTAAATAATATTTTCCATCACATCAATACTTTTTTCTTCTTTTTCAACCACACATTTCCCATCATATCACTATTCAAAATCAATTCTTCCCCCAAAAATCCCTACCAAACACACTCTATATTTGACGATGGGCCGAATACATATGGAAATATATAAAAGGTTATGATCCTCAATTCATGTGTGATTTTCTCATTCTTTGTGACATCCCATCAACACAAGAATACAAGAGAAAGCATATGAAGAGAAAGATCCATAAACCCACAATCAGGAATTAAGATGGAGATTTGAAGCACCAAACTGAAGATTTACAGATCAAGATTCATTATTCAAGTCAGAAATCAATTGATTAAGGTATGTTCCGCGTTAATTTAGTTTCTTGATGGTTTGACATGAAAATCTTGGCAAGTACATAAAGTTTAAGTTTCATCAACAAAGTTACAACATCTCGTAGACAAATCACGGTTTCCTAATAAAAGTGCTTTTTACTCTTAAGAGCCACAAGCTATAGACTCGTAGACAAAGCACAAGAAGAATGCATTTTTTATAGGGAAAAATACTTAAAGAGCATGTTTAGCAAAGCTTTTACAAGATTATAAGTTGGTCAAACATCACTTTTAATATTTTATCCCCACATTCTCTAGGACCGTAGCTTTTATCTATTTTTTATCCACAAATTTCATAGGATCCACAGCTTAAACCTACAAAAGCTTTACCAAAAATACACTTGCCTGTTAATGAAAAATGCATATTTTTCGAATCAATGCTCCATCATTTAGTACACAATGTTTCATCGCTCCAAACCAGTACGGAGCTTTATCCATATTGACCTTCAGAAAAATAACATATACTAGATATTTTGTTTCAATGTGCACAATTGAGACTATTTCAGGGTTGTGACTGGTTTCGACTTAAATTATGCACATAGAATTTACATGTTGAGACATGCAGCATTGTAGTTTTTGGAAGAGAATTAGAACCTCTTGGTCCAATAGAAGACGACTAAAATAAAAGGATAACATGTTACGAGTGTTTGCAGCAAGATCTTCTATCTTGGTTTGCGGTGGAAGGTGGGGGTTGAATGCAATGATCAAAGGTTAATTTTCCAGAATCATAAAAAAATCATCAATCATATAATATTTAATAACCTTGGTTGTGCAATTATTCAAAGGAAATAAAGAGACGTAGAATTTACCACAGGATATTATTTTATTGCCGAGGTTCCACCAACATATATAGTGGTTTCCCACCCAACCTGCATCTTCCCTGTGGAGGTAAAACAAGTGAATCAATGGCTATATATGTTAATTCAAGCCAAAAAAAAAAAGTACAATAACTACACTTGCAATAAGGAATATCTGGTGGATTTCCGGCAAAATGAGAGAATAGAACATAAAAGTTTGTAAAATAGACACCAAAAATGAGGATCATAACAAGAAAGCCAGCTTATAAAAATTCAGATTCTGCATTCAACCAAATTGCCTTATTTTAGAAAGGAAGTAGTTTTCTTAGACAAGTTCAACATTTTGAAGCATTAGGAATCATTAACAGAGCCTTGTAAGGGTAATCCTCCAACCAAATTTTTGTATTAATAAGAGGGGAAACTTACGAGTTTTAATAAAAAAATGTGAAATTACAGGTGAAACTTTAGTTTTCTGGTCAGATCCCTGCAGTGAATTTAATTTTGATTACCATGCCTTAAAACTAGTTGAAAACTGAGACGTTTGAAGTCAGATCTGTGGTTTTGGTTTGGAAAGCAAGTTTCTGTGCGCCATATGGCACATTAACTGCCTTGTTCTGAAAGCATTTGTTGTTGACACTAAGCATCACTATAGATAGAGGTTAAAGAACTGAAGAAAACTAGAACATGGATATAAAACCTAGGGCTATGATAGGTAGAAAAGGATTTCCAAACATTACATTTTTTAGCTGGGAAGTAGCAATATACTAGTGGAACTTGTAAGCTTGATTAGTTTTGACACTTATTCTTTCCTCCATTTTTTTCTGGTGTGCAGTGTTTAGATAGAAAATTGTTATCCTCGGATTTGACCACCAACTTCTCTTGCTGCATAGCAATAATCAATACAGGCAAGCAGGTATAATGCTTTTAGAAAAAAAGTTATTTATTTTGAACTTAGTTATATACTTATAAGTTTGTCGAGTCAAGCTTAGCCAAACACACTCTTGGTAACATATTAGGGATACCAATATTCTAAACTTAATTCCCCAGTGGCTAAATTCAATATGAAGACCACAAATGGTGAGAAACATAGGAAAGTAAGGATGGTTTTGAAACTATTCTAAGACTACAACTTCTAAGCAACATATGACACTGGGAATAGTACACCAACAAGTGGAGGATGCTGCATTTCTGATAATAAACTCGAAAGTGGAAAATTAAATTATGAATAAGTACTTCAGATCAATGACTTGTAAATTATTCCATAAAACGAAGGGGCAATCAGAGTAGTAGAATTTGAATTACCTTGACCTCTGGCAATCCGATAACACATGCACATTCAACTACCTCAGCACCAACTCGTTCTGAAGAACAAAAGCACAAAAGAAATGTCATCATCTTTTTGAGTTCTAAGCACAAAGTATATTTGGCGAAGCTTAAGATTTATTTATATGCGAACTTGTTGCTAAATATTTCTGAGGTTTTCTATAAGTAACTTCCATTTTTAAGATTTTCAGTATCTTACTTTTCCAAAACATGCTGCTACTGTATCTATTTCACATGCAAAATTTAACCGGATAATGAAACAATTTCAGGATCTTACCTAAAAGCCTTGTGGCTGCAGACAGTGTTCCTCCTGTAGCCACTAAATCATCAATTACTAATGCACGTTCTCCACGCTGAACGGCCCCAACATGCATCTCTAAACGATCTTTACCATATTCAAGCTCATAAGCTTCAGAAATAACTTCACCTGGACATTATTGAATTCATTATTTAAAAATTTGGGCTGCCAAAAAATGGCCATGTAAGTATGCTCTTAATGATCAATAGAAACAAAAATAGATACGAAAGTTTAACTTTCTTTTATGCTTGCCAAATCTGCTCTCGTAAAGTTTTTTCATTCAGAATTATTACACTCCACTTTTCCACCTTTAGTTTAATTCACGAGTATCAGAATCTAAACAGAACGAATCATTGCTTTCTAATTCCATAAAATCTAAAATCCAAAATGCAATACATAAAAATAAAATGAAAGAAATAGATGCTTCAACAAATTCATGCCAACTATTGGTCAATATCCTAGTTCAGATGCCAGATTTTACTGCCACATTCTTCATACATATTAGACTTTAACCAAATAACTCCTCCTAATTGCACCAATAACTCATTTATAATTCAAACGGCCCCAAGAAATAGGGTTGCTGGAAATAGGTATTAGTTCAGGAAGTAACCATTTGATGCACTAAAACATTTTTTTCCGAAGGGTTAACCGGAATAAGAAGAGCTATGAATCAGTGGTTAATTACCTGGTAGCTTTCCCGGTTTACGTAGAGGGATAAATTTTGCACCAATTGCTAAAGCAATTGTAGGAGCAAACATAAATCCTCTAGCTTCAACTCCTAGAAGATAATATGGAAGTCATCACTTTGATCAAGCATGAAATAATTGTCAAATATACTCGTAATTTTGATTTATCAAAAGTGCCAACCAATTACAATTCAAGAACCCCTCACATGACATGAGCAATGTGTAAAAACTCAAACTCCCTTTTTGCCTCAAAGCTTCAGAAAGTCAAAAAAATTGCATAATCTTGGAACATGTGAAATTACATGACTAAAAGCTATCTGGCTTGAAATGTTAGAGACAAGATGAGACAAACTTATTTATTCAAATTAGGTGTCTTCGTACTTGCACAATATTTTATATATAAGTTGCGGCAAGATTTGAACTCGAAACTTTTGTAGTTGATACCACTTTAAACGACATCATTTAATATAAGACATATAAGAGGTTAATGGGTTACCAGCAACAACAGAGATATCCATATCCCTGTAACGATCAACAAAGATATCAATAGTGTCCTTGAAGGCTTTGGGATTCGACACCAACGTTGTTATATCCTGAAACATTATTCCTGGCAACCAAAAATACACCAACTACATTATTACACAAAATTTTCTTCAAATAATTACATCAAAAAATGTCCAACAAAAAAGGAATATCATACACATAAATTTATGTGATACCTGGCTTTGGAAAGTGGGGAACAACTGTAATTGAATCGGAAATGCCCTTCAATCTTGGGTCTCCCTTTAAACCGTTCTCTGCTGCAAACATTTTCTTCTCTTCAGAGTCGAAGTGCAGAATGGGAATTTCTTAGAAATTGGACAAATCTACTCTGAAGAAGATCCAAATGCTGGTTTGTGCTTTTATTTATACAGCCAGCTTTTTACTTCTTAATTCTTTACAGAAAGGGGTGGTTTCCCGTGCTTTTACGGGCCTTCAATGCAGTGTAATGGTTTGGCTGAGTACTGAAACCTGATAGACGACGGGTCTATGTGAGTATTTAACCATGAGAAGTGCTATTCATCTCCATTTGGATGTATCTTCAGTCTATGTGGCGTTAATATGACATTAAATGATATGTAAAATTAAATAAGTCATTTAATTTCACCTATTATTTAATCAATTATTTACATCCACATAAAATGGAGACACATCCTTACTGAAGATGAATAGCATTTTTCTTTTAACTATTTATTATAGGTTTTTGTATAAAGAAACTAGAAGAATATAAGATGCGTTTGGGAAACATTTTAGTACATTAAAAGTTACTTTTACTGTTTAGTCAAAGTCAAATTTGAATTTTCAATAGTAAGTTTTAATTAAGAGTAATAATTCAGAAAGAGCTTGTGTTTGATTTAAATAGTAGCTACTTTTATATTTAATTCCGGGGCAAGCCCTCCCGAATTTTAGGTTAATTTTAACTTTTATACTGGCAATAACCCAGGGTGGGCAGATTATTTTCAGTTGTTATTGCCGATATCAAAGTTAAAATTAAACTAAAATTAGGGAGGGTTTGTTGCTCTAAGTTAGTCGTGAAACATAAAAAGTTGATGCAATCTTGGCAGAATGAGTTAGAAAAGAGAATTTTTAAGTTTTGCTCGTCGTTGCATTATATCTTCGAGGTTTTTTTTTTCTTTTTTGTTGCGTTATTATCCTTAACCCGATTAGCATATTTTGTCCTCGTGATAATTTTTGTTTAAATATTATTTTAGAGTACTTTGCTACATTGGGATAATCATCGAGGATTAAATATGTTAATTTATTCTTGTTGTACATAATCTTCTACATAATCTTTTACTAAATCCACAAGTGGCGCATGGGCCCACGGCGCCCCACCAATAGGGGGCCGCCACTTGTCAATTCGATAATCCATTATGTAGAAAACATAATGAAAGGAATAATGGGGATAAGGATATGACGTAAAAAAAAGATGGAAAAAAGATGGAAACATGAGTGCTACAATTAAAACAAAATGTCGAAAGCTTTCATTAGTCATTACGGTTAAAATGTGACTCGTAAAAAAATGGTGTCAATGTAGCTAACAAATTAAGTGCTTGTTTGGTAGGAATTTTTGGGAGAATAATTGATTTTTGAATAGTGATATGATGGAAAATGTGTGGTTGAAAAAGAAAAAAAAATTATTGTTGTGATGGAAAATATTATTTTATTGAAGAATGTGTGGTTGAAAATGAGAATTGATTTATTGTAAAATTTGAGAATAAAAAAAAACAGGCCGTAAATAATATAGTCGAGAAATTTCAATTTTTTTTTTTATACGAGAATTCTACTAGCTTGAATCAAATGATTATATAGGTAAATAGAAGTCTAGAAAGAATGACATTCTTTCAAATTTTAAAGATGTTTGTTGCTTGTTCAAATCATTCATCCCAACCGTGGAAAGATCCTTAACTTCGATTACAAGATTTGCCTTGCCTATTTTAGTCATTGACAAAAAAAGATATTTGATAACAATAATTACAGTTAAAAATCTTGGCATTATTTTTAACTTTTGACATTTAGTGCATGTTGGATGCAAATTAATTTATTTTATGACTTGTTACATGATTATTCTTTATCATACATTCACGCAATAAAATATTCTACACGTATATTAAAAAAATTCATACTTTTTAGCCGCATTCTCCTGAAAAACTATTTAAAACTCATTTTTTTCCCAATTAATGAGAACCGGGCTCTTAATTCTCAAATTGATCACTATTTGCACAAATCGCCCTTTCCATTTCATTCATCCATTTTCTCTATCAAGTGTTCACGTGCAGTCCACTTCTATGATTTGCTCAAGGGTAATTTGGTTAAGACACTAATTTGTCATATTTTTCTGAAAAATCGATCTTTAACATTGTGAAGCAAAGTTCAGGTTTTGCAACTCAACATAAATCTCGAGTTATGGGTGACATTTTAAATTTAAATCTTGAAATCGCAAAGCAAATCTTGAGTTCAATCTATTATCTAACTTCAAATGAGCATAAATTTTGGTCCATAATTCGAAATTACAATCTATTTTTCGTGTTAAACTCTAAATTTCATAACTTGTGTATAGACGATGGGAAAAGGATATGACGTAGCAAAAGGACGGAATGAGACTGTAAGGATAATTTGTGCAAAGAATAGTCGATCTAAAGAATCCCCAAATGTTGAAATAAAATAATAAGACAATTTGTGCAACGAGGGTAAATAATGGAAACAATTCGTGCCAATTACCTTTTAAAGATGAATATTTTTGTTTTTATTTTATAAAGAATACTTACAAAAAAAATTGAAACAAACAAAACAAAACATCATGATGCAATTCAATAGGTTTGGCCAAGATTTAAAGGGCCCTTCGTATTAACGTGATAAGCGTTGCACCAAACTCAAAGGGGTCCATGACGGAAGACAATCGAGGGCATTTATGTAATTCACCCCAATCAATCTCCTGATTGGCAGATAATCGAGTGGCAGTAGATACGGGATATTGGGGTCGTACCCATTTTTTACCTAGTCCGATGACGTGGAGACAACTCATTGGATTATACACCTTTCAAAGATATCAATTTGGGGCCCACTTAACATGAATGGTCCTGATCTGTGTCAGATTTTTGCTTGGAATTATAACGCAACATCTACCCCGTCTTTTTCATCATCATTTATATTGTACCACGTGACAGTACACTATTAGACAATTTTAAAAAACACATATTTCCTTCATAATTTTTTGAAAACAAAAGAAATGACACTCTCAATATAAGAGAATTAATGTACATTTAATATTATTGAAATTATAAAAACTATCATACGTACAGTGAATTTATACTCTTTGGTTAACACTTGCATTGTCGTCAACAAATAATTGAATGAAATAATTATTTAAACTTTAACTTGTCAAATTGAATAATGTCAAGTGACAAAGTGTAAACTAAAGCGTACACTAAAGTGTAAATGTAGCGAGGTCTAGTGATTAAAATCTAATGAGACAGTAGAATCACTCACATTCTCCAATAATTTAAAATGTATCATAAATATATAAAAGAATGCGACGGTTATCTCGCTACCACATAGAGAAGAGAGTACCTACGTCTCACAATCTGATTCAAAGGAATGAAAATGTCTAACGTATCCTATCGTTTCGAGGTACGCTAAACATGTTGAGCCCTAAAACTGGCAAAGGTGGTGCTTGTGAATAGCATTATTTTTTTTCTAAAAATAGCATGTCTCCATATCAGGGGCAGACCCAGACTATTTTTACTATGGGGTCAAAAATTAAGGACTCTTGAGTGAAACTCGGGCGTTCCAAGGATAGTAGACTCCAGTCGTTGGCGCTCGATCTTGCCTTACCTTACACCCCAAGTTTCTATTATGTCAAACACCGGCCTGACATATACACGAATTTTTCAAAAACTAAAGATGAATAAACACAATAAAATATAACTCGTTGAATAAATCGGAGCAGGAAATTTTCGAAAAAAAAAAAGATTTACCTAATAATTTACAATATATGAACAACAACGAACATATTAGCCATTGCAACAAGTGGGATGAATTTTTCAAGTGAAAGAAAAATTTTGTCATCAACGATAATCTTAAATGTGTGATATCCAATGAATGCTATAAGAAAATAATAAATTGAAATAACAACATATGCAAATATTTAGGGGTAGAGTCGGGAATATTGTTCAGTATAGATGAAATTTAATCGAGGTCGGAGTTTTTGGGGGCTTGAAAGTTGAAATGTCCATTAAATTTGGGTCATTAAATGAAAGTATGCAATTCATATTTTTCTTAACTAGCTAATCTATGAGCTTAAAACTCCATAAACCAATAAGCAAAATGAAATATTCAATCTCAAATAAGGTTCGACCATAAATTTAATGATAGTAAAACTATAAACAATATTATGACAAATGACATAGTTTATAAGATCAAATTGTTGAACAAATTTTGAATTTATATAATTTTTACACACACCACTTAATTGATTAAATAATATAATATTCTCACTTAATTGACTCTTTATCTCCATGCACTCTTTCTCTCACAAGTTCTGACTACAAAAAAAAAAAACTCAAATTATTTGTGGGGTCATTTGACCCCACATGACCCCATGTGGGTCCGCCTGTCTTCCATTTAAATTTGATGACCGACTATACAACCATAATGAATGCTTGGTGATTGATTTTATCTTTTTTTTTAATATGAAGGACCAACTCATTGTTGGAGTAACAAGGTGAGGACCAACAGTGCATTTCCCCAAGAAAATAAAAAAGAAAAATGAGTGTAAAGAAGGTGAGTAATGTTATCCATTGCCCTGTGTTAAGTATCAGTATAAGTAACAACTAAATGTATTGAATGATAGATCCATTTAAATATATTGTCACATGATTTATTTAATGAGATCTATCAATGTGACCACTTAGACTGGTATTCTAATCTCGTTGAAAATGAATAGCATTATTTACGCTATAAATGCCGCGTGTCTCGCTAGTGTGTTTTGCGTGCGGAATGGAGGAGCAATTACTGGTGCATGTTGGCCTAGAGGCTACAGCATGCCATTTCCATTTGACTATTATGCAGTATGAAGTTTCCCAGGGTGGCAAATGGATAACGAGTGGGTTGAGCTCATTTTGAGACGAGCTATGGTCGAGTCGAGCTCTCTTTTTTTCACAAGTTGAACTCAACAGGGTCATTTTGTCTGAACTCGGACCATTTTAAAACGAGACATGGATCAAGTCGAACTAACTTTTTTTTTTCACAAGTCGAGCCGGCAAATCCACATCTAGTTGATCTGCCATGAATCTTCATAATATTCCTCATTTGGCTTAATATTGTATCCAACTATTATTTAATAATAGGATTAAAGTTTAATCATTAACATGTGAGAAAGGAGATTTTCAATAATTTTACACGTGAAGAACAAATTATTGGTTTCCGTCCAATTATTAACAACATAATTTGAGTGGAGTCGAAAGACCAGCTTACTACGTTATCTTTAGAAAAAATGTTATCTCCTCTTAACTTTATTTATTCGCTTCTATTATTTCAAGGACCTATATTTAAATGCGATAAGATATACTCATATGTAAAGCTGTAAATAAATCGGATATGAATTGGATTTGTTTATATTCGATTCGATAAGAACAATTATTCGATCTGATCTGATAATCAAACGAATATTTGATTGTTAAATCCATACCCGATTACTATATTATCGGATATTCGATCCGAAATTAAAAAAATAAAATCAATGTTAAAATTAACTTTTTTTAAAACAATTTTTTTTTTTTCCAATTTTTCATATTCTTAAAAGTGTTTAATAATTATAACTTTTTCAACTTTTAGCCAACTGGATTGAAAGGCACAAAAAGTTGTTTATCCATTTATTGACTCGCTTCTTTATAGAGGACATCTCCAAGTATTTTATTATAAACTTTCGATGTGGGATACGAAGGATTGGCTATAGTGTATTTTACATTTGGTTTGACCATAGTATAGTATATTGTATTATTGTATAAATAATTATTTATAATTTATTAAATTAATCATTTTTCTTGTCTTTTACTAATTAATCAAAATTTAAAACTCTCCAAATATTTCAATTAGCACTATTATACTATATCTCGTTTATCAAATATATTTATTTTGTTAAGCTCTTAAAACTGTATTTGTTACTATAACATGTATGTATTATTAAATACTTTTTAAATTGATTAAAAATTAAAAATGAGAAAATATTTTTTTATGTTTTTTTTATGTCTAGGCTTCGTCTAGACTCGCCTAACCCGAAACCTCCGCATCTCGTAACGCTTTAAGTTTATTAGAACTCTATTTACACGTGGATTGACTTTCTTATTTTTATTTTTTTTAATGCTTTGAATTTGATGATTTTTTTCTCAATTAATCATTTTAGTGACAAATAACATACCATAAAAATATTTTACCAACTCAAGTATTTATAACAAATCAGATCGGATTATTATTATATCATATTGACATATATTCATATTTGATCAATTTAGTTATCGAATTATCGGATTCAAATCTTGATCGGATTATCGGACTGAAATTCTAAATTCTCCTCCCATTAATTTCATCGAATTTGGATCAAAATTCAATCTATTGACAGTCATACTCATATGATATAAGTACATGACATACTTACATGCTGCATTGAACATCATTGAAAAAGAAAAAAGTTACATTTTATCTAATTCTTCTACGAAGTATTTTTCAATATACAAAAAAGTTTTTTATTGTATTTCTTTAAAACTATTTATATAACTTGGATAATTTTGGGGGAAAAAAAAAACATAGGTGCATTATAGTGTCCAACTTCGACAAGACTCTCAAAAATTGCTGACGAGAAGGACCGCTCATACCCCACCCAGTTTCATTGTCATTCTTGAGTTCAAGTTCGATAAAAATAAATAATAAAAGACTATTCATTTTTAATTTGGAATCCGAGGATAGATACATGGGATCGAGCTCACAAATAAGAATCTTAATCCATTAAAGTTGATTTAGATAAGAATAGTTGACATTCTTATCTCTTTCCTTGATTTGATCCATGCAATTTAAATATTTAATTCAATAATGCTACATTCATTCTTTGTGGATTTTTTTTTTTTAATTTCCTAATATTTTTTCACTGTTCCAATGTGCTTGACACATCAGACGAATAAATAAAATTAAATATACTAATAAATAACCAGCATAAGTATTTCTTATTTTCAATTTTCGCGAGATCGAATTTAGCACCACTCACTAAATAAGTTATCACGAAACATTATCCCATGATCGCGCATGCTTAAAACAGTTCATTTATTACATGTCATCTGTCATCACTCGTATATTTTGTCACGACATAGAAAGCCGTGTCACACGTTTTATTGACGCGCATGTTACCTGTCACGCTCAAAATAGTCAAATTCAAAAATAAATTTCCATAATTAGGAGGAGACATAATAAATCAATCTTCCGTTTTCGTATCAAATCAATGAATCTTGATTGAAGATCGTTTGGTTAAGTTTTTAAGTGATTATAAGTGGTAGATTCCAACGAGTGCATAGCTAAAAAGTAAGTAAATTGTATGAATCCACATAATGTTTATATCATCTGCCAAACATTGCATAAGATCCTATCCATAGACCCACAAAGACAAAATACAGAGGATCACTGTTTATGTGCACGCGTCGTGTACTGTCAAGCATGATCACCTGATTATTAACTTGAGGATAGGCCCCTCCATTCATATTCCATATACCCACTCTTTCTAGGTTTTGTATACATCTTCATTATCCACTATATTTTTTTTTTTTCAAATTGAATCATGGATTCCCCTTTATCAAATATGCAAGTACATAGATGATAAATTTCAAATTAACTCGTTCACTGGTGCTTTACTCCTAAACGTTCAGTTCATTGCTATGTCTCCATGCATCTCGGGAGAATGAGCTAACTCAAGTTCGAGTGAAATTTTATCTGTAACCACAACTTATTTGTTGATTCTTCAACATTAGTAGGATTGGACTTTCAGTTCGTTTCATCCAAACTTCATCTTGATCATGGATAGATCATCCAGATTCGAGACCGCAAGCATTCCCTCGTTCGATCGCTTTCAAGATAGGAGCATTGAAAACGTTAGCATGTTTTGCATAACCATTGACCATCCAGTTTGTTTGATTTCAACTTACAAAACTTGACATTTGATCCCATATTGTTCTATTTAAGAAACAAAACATACTATTCGAGTTATAACACAAACACATATAATGTATATTAGCTACTTTTTCACCATAACAAAAAATATAAAAAGTGAAAATATCTCGATTTTATCCCCTCTTTACTCTTTTTGTCGCTAAATCCGCAATGATTAGCTCAAGTTTAAAACAATAACCTATGTTTCTAGGCTAATCCTAAGCTAGGCCAACATACATCATTATTGAATTAAAAGGTGTAGTTTATCGAAGTCACTTTAGTAGTAATAGGATTAAGCAAAGTACGATAAAAAGAAGGTACGCATAAGGGTACAAGTCTCAATTTTGAATAAAAATCATCGGGTGATTAATTTAGAGAACGAAAATATAGTAAATTTGAGATCACTTCGTAAAGAAGATTATCAATTTATAAAATATAAACGTTAAATATTAATGTCGGATTAAAATGTCGTTGTAACACTCGATCTGTGTAGGAAGAATAGAAGAAATTTAGGATTTAAGGCTCAATGAAAACTAATAAAATGAGCTAAAAATAATTAATCATGCCGCACTTTTTGTTGGTTGAAATAAATCAGACAACATATCTAAGAAACGATCTTGTTACATGTGATGATTTGATTAGATCTTTGTCCTAACCACGTGCTGTTGGAAAAGTTGATGAAGATTATGTTATGAATGGCTTGTATAGTAGTAGGACCCACGAACCTTGCATTTCCACGTATCATAATTTGATAAAGCATCAGAAATGTTTAATTAAGTACTTAAATTCATCAACTGCCACTCTGATTGATTTTGATTCCATTTATCGTACCTTTCAAAAGGTCAAAAATTACTCTTCAAATAAAAAAGTTGATTTTGAACATAATTAGGGCCGTTCGCACGAGTTTTTGAGATCCAAAAATTATTTTCAAACTCGTTTGACTAATTTTATGTAAGTGTTTCTTCAGGTAAAAAAGACTCATTTTGCACGATCATCTGGTTTATCCACAAGATCGATAACTACATTTTCTAGTATATGAACTATGTCGAGCTTTGGATTAAGTCTTGTTCCATGTTTATCGTGCATCGAAGTAGTCTAGGAGCTAAAATATTTTTGTTGTCGTCATTTGCATAAGGTCACATGGATCATTCTATGTGGGTGGCGTGCCTAGATGGTAAGATTTTCGTCGTTCGCGTAACTAATTAAGGGCATGTTTGGGCCAGATTTTAATCTAAATCAAAGTCAAACAATCAACATCAACCACATTTTTTATGGGTCTCACATCTTTTCAACCACACATTTCAAAAATTTATATCACAATCCACTTAAAATTTGATTTTAATTTACACCAAACACCCTCTAAATTTTGCAGCTTACTGCCTTTAAATCATATTATTCATAGTCATAAGGTCATACACTCGAAATGCTAATAATTTTCGATTTAGAAATTTGGGCCTAATCCCGACACTAACTTTTTCTTTTGAGAAATTAGGTCAGCCACTAATTGGGTTAATTATTTGAATGGTGATTGAATTATACTAAGTTCTACTACTTAATAGCTAAATTTAAAATTGTATCTCGTAGGTCACTGAACTATGCACCATGTTATTCACTCATCACTCAAAGTTCAATGACGATCGAGATACAGTTTGAAATTTAATTATATGTAGTAACAATTGGCTCCCGTTTGGACTCCATTTTCATTTAACGCATTTTTTTTTCTTCATTTTCAATCACATATTTTTCAATAAAATAATTTTACACATAAATTCAAACTTTTCCTTGATTTTTAACTTCATATTTTCCAAAAAATTACTATTCCAAATTTCATTAAAATGGAGCACAAACAAGGGCTTGGTATAGTTCAGTCCTCATCGAGATAAAATTTTAAGTTCGATTATTAAGTAATAACAATTTCTTGTTCCTTCAAATTGATCTCTGTGAAAGAGAAACCAAAGAAAATGAAAGGAAAAAAGAGGAAATTGAAAATTAGAGATTCTATTTTTCGATGAAAAATTGAACTTTTCACGATTAAGCACCACATATTTCTACAAAAGATTGAATTTTACCTGGTGGGTATCTCATTTTTCCACAAAAAAAAATAAAATGAATTTTTCAAAAAAATGATTGATTTTTTGGGATCAAAGTTCTCTGCAAATATAGGATTATCTATTTACTTTAGAAAAAAATTGGACATTGGAATTGGGCAAATTCAGATTTCTGGGAAGGATTGGATATTAGAAAGTGGGCTTCAAATGGAAAAATTCATATTTTGTAGGCATCTGATTTTCAGTTTTCCTCTTTTTCCCTTCATTTTATTTGATTTCTTCCCTCACAGGGTCGATTTAAGGGGAAAGAAATTGTCAATACTTAATAATTGAACTTAAAATTATATCTCAATAGTGAACTATAACAATTGTTACTACTTAATAACTTAAATTAAAACTGTATCTCAATAGACACTGAAATATGCACTGTGTTACCAATCAATCGTTCAAGTCAGCACCATTTGTTGAACTTAACGAATTTTTCCAGTCAAGTGATGAATGAATAACATGACACATAGTTCAAAAATCATTGAGATACATTTTTAAATTCAATTATTAAATAGCGACCCTTGGTATAGTTCAATGACCATTCAAATAATTAACCTGCCACAAATTACTTGACAAATTAGGACAGTCACGAATAACTTGACGAATCAGGTGTTTAGAAATTTTAAAAATAGATAATGAAAAAATGACAGATAAATATTCTGCTGCAATCACAAAGAACTTTAATTGATGCAGCGTAAAGAAGGGATGCTCTTATTCGACAAATATAATGATGGAACAAAATTATTACCTCAAATAATGTAAGATTTAAAATTTGTTAAGTCAGAATTGTGTATTAACAATTGGAATTTCTCAACGTTCACACAGAAGCCAATCCTTTGCACAGATAAGAGCCTCAAGTACCGTTGGTTTTAATGAACTTCGGTAGCTATCCATCTTTCTCGTTCTTGTATCGAACACAGAATCTGGGGGTACTGTGGATACTGGAATAGATAAAACATCAAATGCCATTTTCGACAAAGTTGGGTATTTTGATCTATTTACTCTCCACCAACCTAGAACATCGAAATCTTGTACACGAGGTAAAAGAGGTTCTTCTAGATACTGATCCAGTTCTGATTTCAACTGTTGGCCATTCATTATATCCGAAATATAGATGTCAAAATCCGAAAACCCAATATCACCATTAGGAAGAAGACCGTCGTCTTGAGGTATCTCTATTTTTACAACAGCCTCGTTTCCTTCTTCTATAAAAGTCGGTGGAGGAAGGCATTGCACAATGTACTCGAGATAAAGTTCATGCACATCTTCATCAATGATCTTGATCCAATTGTCTGCATCCTCACCGTAGATTCTGGGGAAGCTGAATTCCACGAGCTTCATTTTCAACCTGGGGTCCATAACTACAGCAACTGCCAAGACTAGGTTGCAGTCCTCCCAATATCTGGTGAATTTCTCGTGCAAAGGTTTAGTAAGGCTGCTGACAAAGAGATCTGGGCTCGAAGCAGCATGCATCAGTTCTAGCTGAATTTTCCACACTTCGTGGAAAAATGTATTGGTAGTCGGATATAAAGGGCCCGTTAAAATGTTGGCTGCCTCGTAGAAAAGCTTCAAGTATATGCAAAGAGTTTCCACTTGTCTCCACTCATCCATTGATGGAGTTCTCTCATAATCTGGATCTGAAGTATCCAGACATGAAAATACTTCCTTTAGTTCAGAAGCAGCCATCAACATGTGATATGTAGTATTCCATTTGGTAAGGTCATCGACGATTAAGTTCTTTGTACTGGGCACTTGAAGCTGTTGTTTCAGTTTCATGAATCTTTCTTCACGAGCTTCTGAAGTCTTCACGTACTTAACACTGTCACGAACCTTCTCAACAGTTTCCCGAATAAACCCTAATGCATCTTGTGCAATCCTCGTCAAAGTACAAGCATAACAACTGTTAATTAATAGCTGTCCATTGAGAATGCGGGAGTTCTTGATTGACAGGAGGCCTCTAAGATTTCTCTTTGCATTTTCATTTGCATGGGATTGATCAAGAGTGACGGTAAATAGCTTGCTTTCAGAACTCCAATCATTTAGAGAAGCAGCGACAGCTTGATCAAAGGCAGTTTCGGAATCAGGAGATGGTAACATTACGACATTGAAGATCCGCCTATACAGTTTCCAATCGCAGCCAATGAAGTGTCCCGTCAGGAGTCCATAGGACACCCTTTGGTCTGATGTCCACAAATCCAGAGTAAGGCTAACTCGTCCTGGGATTCCAGTAACAAGGTTCAGAAGGTTTTGCTTTTCTCTAAAATAAATGCCCAGAATGTGTTCTTCGACAGTATTGGTACTCATTGTATTAAAATGGGGATGAAGGCACCTTACAAAATCAATAAAGCCAGAATGTTCAACCATGTGAAGAGGATATTCATGCTGAATGATCATTTTTGCAATTTCACTGCTGCACAGGTCCTGATCAAAAGAGATACTAGCTGGTCCAGAGGTAGCCCGGAGACGCTTTTTTTGTTGTACTGTACCATTTCCAGAAACATCAGATTTTGTATCTGGTTTGTATATACCGAGTTGATTTTTCTCTTGATTACACTGGCTCACAGGGCAGATCCCCAAGAAAATATGGCGTTTCAGGTGACTGGTGCCTGCTAATTTTGAACCTGATATATAAGCAAATAATTTATTGCATTGATTACAGCAGGCCCTGATATCAGCATTAACAGTTACAATTGTGAAATGGTCCCAGACTTTGGACTTCTTTCTCCTGCGTTTATTAGGCTGCGCACCTGAATTGGAGTTCTCGATGTGATTAGTAGGTACATCCATCGATGAATTCTGTAAACAAAAAGGAAAGAACGGCCATGATCAGATATGCACATATTAGATTGTCAAATAAAATTCGACTCTATGATATATCAAAAGTTGCTTTCAAGAATAGTACTAACATCCTTATTACATTTGCACGTAAAGGGAGGTGAGGGATAAAGTATAAAATTGCACATTCTTCCTCTTTTGAGCACTTATTTATAAAGCTAAAGTTAACCTCCATCCACACAAATCAATAATCAATATAAACAGAATAACAAAGCCAGAAAGGTGCAAGATGTCACGAATATGTTTATGTCTGTACAATTTAGTCACGTGCTAAGTGTCAACAGCCTGCCTAAATTCAAAAACGGCATCACATAATAGTCTGAACTAACTATATAAGCTAACTTTAGAAGTGTGAATTTCATCATTACCATAAAAGCTAAAGTACACGACCTAAATAAAACAGCAGAATAAAATTTATCTCCATCGGCGACATGAAGTTCACTGATAACAATAGACATCACTATTAAGAATTTTTTGCAAGTCAATGTGAAAGTAGCCAAAAACTTATATAAAATTACTGTACAATTTTGAATTGCTTTTTCAGAAATTTTGATTCAAAGATGATAGTTTCTGTATTGCAAGAGTAGCCTAGACATTTTCAAGGTTTGCACAATCATGCATCTTCCAAATAATGGTAAACCTAACAACAAAGGGTGATTGAATTATGCCAATTAACACAGTATAACATCATCAGTCCCAAGCACAAGAAGTTAAACATGAAATTTTTTTGACACGAACACAGGATAAAGCCCTTTAACATTTTAAACCGGTCTGTTAAGGAAGGGTACTCAATGAGCTTGGAAACTCCCAAGCAAATACATAAATTAGTGATGTACGAAGTTAGGATTGTCATTACCACCCCTTTTATCAAAATTGACACCTACTGAGACCCATATTATCAATCGGGTAACCTCGCGGACTCAACATTCACCTGAAAGAACTTTTCTCAGTTTCTCATGTCCACAACAAGGACAATCTCAAAAGGAGTGTCTCTATGATACAACTTATCTCATCCTTGAAACCGACTTGAAGGTCATCAATGTGCTTAAAGTCGAGGTGAGAGGATAGCTACAAGCACTCCTCTTTTTAGAAGTGATGTTTATTTTTGAATACTCAGTTATCCTTCAATCGCATGAGACCCTCTCCAAGTCGTTGATAAAGGGACATCTCCAATAGGAAGCAGTCTTGTGTGCTTATAAACCCAACCTAAGACCTAATGTGGACTCTGACGAAACTTCACAAATTTCTTCCAAGGAATACCACCCCACTATATCATCAAAACAACAAAACACAGACAGAAACCTATAGTCCAAAAACAACAGATTAATCAATAAAAATTACGAATTTAAAACAAGTTTCAAGCATGAGAACAAACAACTTGCGGTTAAACACGTGAATAGAAAAAAAAATGTTACATCGATGATTTGAAACACTTACTTCAATGGCGAACTGAAAATCTTTAAGACGCAAAACCAGGGTTTAGGGTTTAACGGTAATCAATTTACAGTTAATTTTGAAGAAAAGTGCATACAGGGAGAGAAGAGAAGAAGATGGGCTTTTGAGAAAAAACGAAACTCTTAAACCCTAATGGACTTTAGGGCTGATTCATGAGGTTTTGAGCTTTTAACGGCGGCCTATTTATTGATGGACCCTAACCCATTCGCCGCCCTTTGATAAAATCTGAACCGTCGAAAAGAGTCTCCTTATTGCTTTTAAATTTTTTTTCCATATTATTTAATTCCAAATCCCTTTTTTCCTTCCCGCTAGAATGAAAGTATTACGTGGTCCGAATTTTAAGGGTACTCGAACTCTAGTTATAAAAAACTTTTTTTTTTTTTTTTTGATATCCAGGTATCCTAACTTATACTAGACTATGTCCTGGACCACCCATCCTCGGCCCCTCATCACTTAATTTTAAAACTTTCCCTTAATAGTTATGTGTGCATTTGAAAATTAACAATTTTGACTATAAATCATTAATTATTCAAACAATCTATAGTTATAGATGAAAATGCAAAATTAAAAATAATAAGTGGGAAAATAACTTTGAAGAGTTAGCGTTAACATTTATAATAATCTTGAACTTCAAAGATGTTTGAGAAAATAATTTTGAAAGTACAAAGAATATTCTTTAAAAAATTATGTTACCAAATGTTCAATTTTTACCCACGTGTTTGATAAAAATTAAAATTTAGATTTTAATTTAAGTTAAAGTTAATAATTAATTTTAATCACATATTTTATGGAATCCACAAATTTTCAAACACACATTTCATCAACATTTATTAAAATCTACTAAAATCGACCAACATAAGTTGTAAGTCCATAGATCTCGGATGTCGTCTAATTTCAAACTAATTGCAAAGGAACAAGCCTTAGTGGATAAATATTAAGATGAGTAGAAGTTGACGAGCAATATGTTATTATTCGTGAATGACTAGTCATCGATTTATCTCATTGTTCTAAAAAGCTCACTTAAGTTGTGCTTAGATTTGAAACTCCGACAAAATGCCCCTCTTCGTGCTTACGCCTTTTTTTCTTTTTTTAAATTTCTAAACGGTTGAATTTTTTCCTTACATTCTGTTGTTTTCTCTTTATTGTTTTTTTAATTTTTCTTTAAAAAATTCTTTTATTTGACTTTAGTTTATTAATTAATTGATTTAAAAAAAGCATTTTTATTTGATTTTAATTTCAAGTTTTTAAAAGACTTCATATGTACAAAAGTAAAAATTGACTTAACCAATGAGTTAAATAAGATTTAAATCATGATGTTATTATGATTTTGAGACTCGTTATTTTGTTGAAAATTCCGAAAGCATGTATAAAATTTCTATAAGTCGATTAAGTATGAATTAACTAGTTGAAAAATTAAACTATGAAAAATAGTTCAATTTTTGCATTTCAATTTTGGTATGTATTATTTTAATTATAAAATGATTTTTAGAATGGTTAAAAATTTAAAATAATATTAAAAATAAGAAAACACTTTTTTAGCATAGATCTCTCATAAACTTGTAAAGTTTGAAATTTCGTTTCCACACTTAACCACGCTTTACATTTTTTAGAACACTGTTTATCCCCATGGTCAAGATGATTACTGGGTTGGAGGGATAATTGATTATTGTGTCAATATACAATGACCTTGTATAGCGGTCAACTAGTTTAGCCTTTATGTTACTCGTTAGGTCTCTTATGCATCCCGAGGTTGGATTACCATCAATCTATGAGGGATGCCCTGAGAATCCTCAGACCCTAAGGTAGGTTTGGTCGAGGGTTTTAACTTCTTGCAAAATAGCATGTTGTGTAACGTTGCAAATTAGAAATATTCAGTGATAAAAAGAAGACCAAGAAAAAAAAATGAAAACTATTTCATGCTATAGTTTTTGTTTTATTGTTCTCAATAATGAAAATTCAAAGTCGAATACAAAAAAAAAATCTTAATTTCCTACCTACCGTGTCTCTCTCACATTGACTTCCCTTCCAAGTCTCAATTAATATATCCAAAAAAAATTTGTATCACTTTAAAAAATTGTTGTAGTCTATTGTTGGTAGGAAGAATGATATTTCATTTCCAGTTGGACCAACCTCGGTCCAAGTCACGCGGCCAATTGTCAGGATCATCCTCAACTACCACCAACACTATAAAATTGGAATTGATTATCTGCTGCACCCTACAACTTAATCCAATTGGAACATTTTCCTAGCAACTAGGATATTTATAATTTTAAAATCATTATTCATTACAATAAGATCCAGCACCCACGAGCAACTAGCCTTGATAGACGAGTCCCAACTAGCCCTCGCCCTAACCCTAGCCTAGCCACCACTTCTCCAAGAGAAAGGAGGTTAATACCCTAAATAGTCACTAAACTTTGTTAAAAGTTCTTAGGATCACTGAACTTTAAAACTTCCCTAATTAATCACTAAATTTCGCAAAAAGTTCCTAGGAAGTCACTGAACTTCGAAACTACCCTAATAGTCACTGAACTTTTTCAAAACTGCCCTAATTAGTCACTCAACTTTGCAAAAAATTTGTAGGGGGTCCCTAAATCATTAATGTATGAGGTTACAATTTGCAAAGTTCGATGACCTCCGAGAAAGTTTTAGCAAAGTTCAGTGACTATTGAGGAATAGTTTTGAAAAGTTCAGTGACTAATTAGGGAAGTTTTGAAATTCGATAACCTCTTGGGAACTTTTGACAAAGTTCGGTAACTATTTAGGGTATTAACTCAAGAGAAAGCAAACAAGAAAGGATAATTCATATTAATTTAGGCCACTGTTTGATCTACATTATTATCTCATTAAAATAAAAATGATGACAGTTATGCATCACATCAAAACATTTAAATTCAAATTTTCTATCTTTTATGTGGGCCCCAATAACTACTATATTTTTCATTCTCATTCTACAATAATTTGGTTCAAGCAGAGCCTAGATGTATACTAGTCACAATTTTGAAAAGAGTAATGTTATACAAAATTAACGGTGCTTAAAACAAACTCGTGTGAATTGAGTGTTATTTTTTATTTAATAATGATTTTATCAATAATCTTTGTTATCAATCAAGGTGATAATTGATTCGTTATCGCTTCGATCAATAATAATCATCATAGATTAATTATTTACTTTAGTTATAGAATGCATTTCGATTAATTGATCAATTGACGATGGATCCCGTTGACACCTTAACAAGCGTTAAATATCATCATTCTTCGTAGAAAAAGTCGACGTTTATAGTTCACAGAAATCGCTTTCTCGATAAATAGTAAAAGACTCGTGAAATAAAAACTTAAAGTGGTCCGACCTAATTCGAGAAGGGTCCAACCTCAAACGCTAGAAGGTCGATTTACATTCTTAACTCGTAATTGTCTTTAATTCCGTCTACTTGCCATATAAAATAGGTGAACACAAAGGATAACTATATCCAAATTACACTCTTAATCCTTTTTTAATTTTATCCGTTTAGCGCATAGTACGTGGATGTTAGTCATAGGAAAAATTTCTGAATTTTTAAGATAAGACCGAAATTGAGGATTTTATCCGAATGAAAGGCCTTGCACGCCATCCAACACAGGCGGACGTAGGGAACCGAAAAACCCTAGCACGGCATATTTACTACAAACAGAAACAGGGTTGTTATTAGATGTTAGCAAGTCCACTGCAGACAATGCACCTTCACCTTTCTGATTTTAATTTGTCATCCAATTCACCCTTTGTGATTTAAACGGTAGCATAGAAATCTTCATTAATAAAGCATTTTAAAAAGTCCACTTGTACGAAATGACAATAAATTCAAATTTAATTAATTGTACTTGCCATTAATTTGTCGGTAAAAAAAAAATGAAAATCTCAAGGATCGATGTATTCAACAAAAGTGAAACGTAATGATTTTATGAATTTGAACTTTCGCGAAAAATCATATATTTCTGTCGTCATCATGTTTGATTAGATGTTGATGCAACGAAGGTTAATGATACCTAATTCTCTTTCTTTCTATTTGATAAGACGAGGCATCCGAACTTTTTTCACCAAAAGAAAAGAAAAGTTGTCAAGAGTCAAGAAATTAAAAAGAAAAGAGGAAGATGGAGAATCAATCAAGAACATGAACTACCACTTCAATTCAATTGGGACCCTCACTCACAACCTTACTTATCATTATGGCATCATAGGAAAAAAGGGAAAAAAGAAACAAATAGTGGAGCATCAGCAAGGAATTGATTCCTCCTCAGTAAAAAAGTAACAATAATTTTTCAAGATTATGCTATATTCTTTTTATGACTCTCTTTAATTTTTTCCTTATCAAATCTCCTCGAATCCATGCTCACGTCCAATTCCCCTACGTTTTTTTTTTAATTATAATCAACATATTTAGTCCCGATTCGATAAGAATTAAAATCTAAATTTTAATATAACCCAAAATCGATAATTAGTTTCAATCATATATTTCGTAGGACCTATAACTTTCCAATCATGGATTTCATCAGTTTTTATCAAAATTTACTAAAAATCTGATTTTAATTCTTAACATACAGGGGCTTAGTATGTTAAATTATACTGATTACGAAGAATGTAGTCATAGTCAAGACGTGTTTAGAATCGTTACATGATCTTGAAAGAGAAGGGGTGGAATGCATAAAGTTTTAATAATACGTTTTTCTCAAAACTCATTTTCAATCACATATTGTCTTAATAAAATAATTTTACACGTAAATTTAATTTTTTTTCTACTTTTCAACAATATATATTCTCCAAAAAATCACTATTTCAAAATTTATTTTTACCAAATAATGGGACCCAAACAAGGGTTAAACAATTGAAAGGCTATTCGCCTTTCATAACGCGAGTACATGTGGTACATAAATGTTGTCAATTCCTACATTAAATTATTGGGTAAAGCTCCATAACGAATGCAACCCTGGTTACTATCATTAAGTTTGGAATTCTTAACAAACAATCGGTGATAAGTCAAAAGAAATGTGAAGATAATTTCGAGACACACTAATATATTTTTCACCTAAATTTAAATTAAAATAACAAACAAAATACAAAACTTCTTCCATACTTAAACCAACCATTGATGACTTTTTATGATTGAGCAATAAAGCCTACCCATCAAACGAAAAGACGGTAAAAAATTGCAGGTCCACTTAACCTTTCGTAGGTCCTATCACACTGTAGTATTCCACCTAATGCTGGGATTCTTACCAACGAGTATTATAAATGTTCGCTCAACTCACACTTCCCATACCCTCCGTATAGCCGCGACTCAGTTTCTCACCAAATTTTTGGCTCACTTCCATTTTCTTTTATTTTTTATATTTTTATTTAATATTTTTCCGGCGAGAATGGGGTCGGCGCTACTGTCAGATCTGGGAACGGAGATCGTGATCCCGGTGTGTGCAGTTATTGGTATAGTGTTCTCGCTCGTGCAGTGGTTCCTCGTCTCGCGCGTGAAGGTATCGCCGGAACATGCTGCGTCGCCTCCGAGTAGCAACAACGGCAAGAATGGATACAACGATTTCTTGATCGAGGAAGAGGAAGGCATCAATGACCACAACGTCGTCGCTAAGTGCGCCGAAATTCAGAACGCCATCTCCGAAGGTTAGAATTTATACTGCCTTCTCCAGATCTCTCTTCAATTTATTCAGATCTGATTTCTATTTAATATATGAAAATTAGTATGCCTATGTGTGTGTGTTTTACAGATTTGAAGTAGATATAATTTGTAAATAGTATAAATATATTCTTTTAATCTTAAATTCGTTAGAGGAAACTCAACGAATGCTCATTTAGCTGACTTAAGCTGTGATTAATAAGTGATTTTTTTATAATTTATTTTTTTCTTCTGTTTGAGCTGTTATAATTTACTCCTTACCAATATGAGTGTTCATTTAATTGTTTTGAGCAGATATTTTTTAATAATATAACTAACAATTATCTTTATAATTACTATGAATTTGTACTTTTATTTTCTGAATATTATTCTATTATTTATTGCTGATATTATTTTATTTGTAAACTCCTCTTGATCTAACCATTTTTGAACCGCTACAGAGATTTTCTCACTCGCCAATAGGTGGCAAAATATCCCGTCCCTATCTCGAATTCTTTTGGAATTTCCCGCTCAGTCGGGGAATCGAGCCTCTTTCCGTCCTTACTCTTATTTTTTATTTTTATTTATTTATAGTATGGTAAAATTCCTATCCCACCCTCTCGAAGAATCCCGACTTTTATTTTTTATTTATTTACGTACGTTATTTTTACATATTTAAATTTATACCGTATCTAAACAAAATAAATTAGTAAACTGAGCAAGAAATGAGATATTTTAATCCTGTTCTTTTGCCATGATTTTGTCGGCGTGGGGAGGTGGTTTAGGGGTTTTTGTGCCAATCATGCTACAATGCCATATTTTTTTGACATGATGTCATGTCATTTTAAACACAGTCAATTTTTCTATCAAATCATCTTCAATCACCTCAAATATGTTAAAATTATAAAGTTTTCTTGCAAAGAAGCAAAACCTAATTATTTTTTTGTTGTGCCGTATTTGTCATTTTTAAGTGGAGAAGGATTTAGGAATAATTAAACTGTGCTGCACGTGAAGGATGACACGTGGAGTTGCTTTTTGTAGGGTATGTTATTTACCCTTATTATTTTATTGCTGTCAGTTTGCTCCATTAATTTTAAAATGTATTTTTTTTTACTTTTCAATGACTCATTTTTCAATAAAATATTATTATATGTACATTTAAAAATTTTCTTAAGTCTTAACCATACATTTTGAAGAAAATCACTATTATAAAATTCATTTTTTCCCAAAATCTAATTATAATGGAGCTCAAACAGGGCTATATTTCATGTGTGTGCGTGTGTATATATATATATATATTTTATTTATTTATTTTTATTTATTTATTTTTTGAAATTGAAGTTATAACGTTCTGAGAGCATGTTTGGCTAAAAAAATATATTTACAAATAGGTAATAAGTTAAAAATAAATAAGAGTTACTTTTTCAAATAACATTTTGTTAATATATTTCAAAGAAACCGTGATACTATCTACCGATCAGTGATTCATTTCTATCTATCTATTATTTAGCACTTGTTTGTTGGGGATTTAAACTAGATTTTTAGTAGATTTTGATAAAATTTGGTGAAATGTAATTGAAAAATTGTGTGTTCCATGAAATATATGGTTAAAATTAATTATTGACTTTGAATCGAATTAAAATTTAGATTTTAATCCTTACCAAACAAGGGTTTAAACTACTTATAAACACTTTCTAAACATGTTCGAATTAACTTTTTTACTTGGAAATATTTTTAAAAAAATAATATAACCAATCATGTTTTGATGAAAAGCCATTTATACATTCACTTATTTTTAAGCTTAGCCATGCTCATGAGTTTTCGACAAATTTGGCTCTGAAGATTTTACGTGATGATAGTTACTATCCTCTATTTCGCCACTGAGTAGAATGATCGCAAATTTTAACAATATATTTTTAAACAATACACCTTTTTGGAATTTCGAGGGTAGTAACGGTATATAAATGCTCACCTTTTCTAAATTCCAACTTTTCCCTCATTATGTTGAAAATCTAATTCATTATATACACTTGACAAAATCAAATATTAAGATCTTATTTGTCAGTACAAGAAAATATAGTGCTAAACAAATAAATGGTAGTGTAACGGAAAGAGGTCTTCTTTGAAAGATCTAAAAACCATATACGATTCCCTGCCTACGCAATTATGGAAACGCGCTCACATTTTCTATCTGGACTATGATTTCGCATAAAATTTGGCTCTTCCACTTTATTTTGACCCGTTGGCTCGCAAATTGGCACAACTCCTCGACCCACTGCTTTCAATACTGGTTTAAATAACATTGTGTGTGATAAAAAAAAGGTTAATTTACCAATGTAGCTATTTTTTAAATTTGGTGGAATAGAAATTTTCCATTTTTAGTTGTCATAAGTGCAAATGTTCATTATACTAGCGTTGTTTTTGTTGGTTTTAGTTTCTATTTGCCAACTATTAGGTTAGGTGGTTGTATGGATATATGTTTTACTGATCTATAATTTCTGGTTGTAACAGGTGCAACGTCTTTCTTATTTACGGAGTATCAGTATGTTGGTATTTTCATGGTTGTTTTTGCAATTCTCATCTTTTTGTTCCTGGGCTCTGTGGAGGGTTTCAGCACAAGAAGCCAGCCTTGCACCTATGACAAGGAAAAATTGTGCAAGCCAGCTCTTGCAACTGCTATCTTCAGCACCATATCTTTTGTGCTTGGAGCTATCACTTCAGTCCTTTCTGGTTTTCTTGGGATGAAAATTGCTACATATGCAAATGCAAGAACTACATTGGAAGCTAGAAAGGGTGTCGGGAAAGCTTTCATTATCGCATTCAGATCTGGTGCAGTCATGGGTTTTCTCCTTGCTGCAAATGGCCTTTTGGTGCTATACATTACCATCAATCTCTTCAAGCTGTACTATGGTGAGGACTGGGAAGGCCTATTCGAGGCTATAACTGGCTATGGTCTCGGTGGATCTTCCATGGCTCTTTTTGGGAGAGTAGGAGGAGGTATTTACACCAAGGCTGCTGATGTTGGTGCTGATCTTGTTGGGAAGGTTGAAAGGAACATTCCAGAAGATGACCCCAGGAATCCAGCTGTAAGATACAATCCTTTCCTGAAGTCACGTTCTTTGGCCAGGAATCTGTTGTAATGGATTTAATTTTTGTCTGCTGCAGGTGATTGCTGACAACGTCGGTGATAATGTTGGGGATATTGCTGGAATGGGGTCTGATCTATTCGGTTCATATGCAGAATCATCATGTGCTGCTCTTGTGGTGGCTTCCATCTCCTCTTTCGGATTGACTCATGACTTCACTGCAATGTGTTTTCCACTGCTTATTAGTTCCGTGGGAATCCTTGTTTGCTTAATTACAACCCTTTTTGCTACTGACTTTTTTGAAATCAAGGCTGTGAAGGAAATTGAGCCAGCATTGAAAAATCAGCTTATTATCTCCACTGTTCTTATGACTGTGGGAATCGCAATTGTTACCTGGACTTGCTTGCCATCATCCTTCACAATTTTCAATTTCGGTACTCAAAAGGTTGTGAAGAACTGGTAAGCTTTGATTTTTTGCTTATCATTCAATAAAGCAGCATTAATATTTCATAAGCATTTGTATAATTTTTTCAGTACCTATTACCTGTTTACCCATGTTTGAGCCCCATTTTTATTTTTATTTTCAAAAAATACATTTTGGAATAGTGATTTAACGGAGAATGTGTCCTTAAAAAATAAGGAAAAGTTTTGGGTTTGCATGTAATATTATTTTATTGAAAAATGTACGGTTGAAAATAATAGAGAAAAAAACGTATTTTTGAAATAATTGGTACCAAACAAGTGCTTAATGTGGCTGGCTTTGTATTACTTAAGCTTTGTTCCTTCATAGCTAAATTAAAGCACCATTAAATGTATAATCCATTTCACTAATTTTTGGGTACTTTACACATTGCGGCTTCACAGGCAGCTGTTCTTGTGTGTGTGCGTCGGGCTTTGGGCTGGACTTATTATTGGATTCGTGACAGAGTATTATACCAGCAATGCTTACAGGTGAATCTAACTATTTTTTGTCTTCATGCAACAGTGTCACTTGATCCCTTCATTCTTTTTATAGCACCAGTATTCTTGCTAGAATCTGATTTCTTCTATCCTATTCATTTTTGCCCTCCAGCCCCGTGCAAGATGTTGCTGATTCCTGCAGAACTGGTGCTGCTACCAATGTCATATTCGGCCTTGCACTGGGATACAAATCAGTCATCATTCCTATTTTTGCCATTGCTATTAGCATTTTTGTTAGTTTCACCTTCGCTGCCATGTACGGTATTGCAGTGGCTGCCCTTGGAATGCTTAGCACAATTGCCACTGGGTTGGCTATTGATGCTTATGGACCTATTAGCGACAACGCCGGAGGAATTGCTGAGATGGCTGGAATGAGCCACCGGATTCGTGAGAGGACTGATGCACTTGATGCTGCTGGGAATACCACTGCTGCTATTGGAAAGGTATTTGCATGTTCTCTCTCTTTAATCTTGTTCTTGAATTGTGGTTATAGTCAGATAATCAAAGGCGCAATGTGCACTTATATCCTCAATGTAAACGTTAAACAGGTGGCTTCATTTGTGTCTATTACATTACAATTGTATATAGCTTGTTACCTTCTGTCCAAGCTTGGGTATTCGTTACTTCATGGTCTTGTTTTAATTTGCACATGCTGGCTATTTGTCTCGATTTGAAATCCTTGTTCGTTTCCAGGGATTTGCTATTGGATCTGCTGCACTTGTGTCATTAGCTCTATTTGGTGCCTTTGTGAGTCGGGCAGAAATTTCTACTGTTGATGTTTTGACCCCTAAGGTCTTTATCGGGTTGATTGTTGGGGCAATGCTTCCTTACTGGTTCTCGGCCATGACAATGAAGAGTGTGGGTAGTGCAGCTTTGAAAATGGTTGAGGAAGTACGTAGGCAGTTCGACACTATTCCTGGTCTGATGGAGGGTCTCGCCAAGCCCGATTATGCCACCTGTGTGAAGATCTCAACTGATGCCTCCATCAAGGAGATGATTCCCCCTGGTGCCCTTGTCATGCTTACACCTCTCATTGTCGGAATCTTCTTTGGAGTCGAGACCCTCTCTGGAGTTCTTGCTGGTTCTCTTGTTTCTGGTGTACAGGTACAAGTTTCCATTTCTGTTCACAGTGGATGTTTTATAAACAGTAGTAATTGAGTTTTTCACGCTTAAAAAATGATTTTCATTTTTGATGTTTTTTATCGCGATTTTTCTCTTTGCTTTCCTTTGTGGTGTTCCTACAGATAGCAATATCTGCATCGAACACTGGTGGTGCATGGGACAATGCCAAGAAGTATATTGAGGTAATAACATGGTTGAAAGTTCATTCTTTTCTTATGCATGGAGCGGTGTAGTTAACTTTTTTTATATATATTTTTTATTTTATTAGGCCGGTGCTTCCGAGCATGCAAGGACTCTTGGGCCAAAGGGATCTGAACCTCACAAAGCAGCTGTTATCGGTGACACCATTGGGGATCCTCTCAAGGACACTTCAGGTCCATCACTCAACATCCTTATCAAGCTCATGGCAGTTGAGTCTCTTGTGTTTGCTCCCTTCTTTGCCACTCATGGTGGTCTACTTTTTAAGATCTGAGCGACGAATGCCAGGAAATTAAGAGAGAACGTCATCTCACCACTCTTTTCTATGTTTTAAGCTTACCCTGTAACTGCGATTTTATTGTCGATGAGCTGATGATGATGATAATTGTAAGGATAAGTGCAATGGTGAGTTAAGATCAAATTTCCAGGATGATTAGTTTCTTTCATTCTGTATAACCTTAGCCCAATTAATTTTTGGGTTTTTCTAAACGGACAGAGCCACATAGTCCCTATCCCTATCCGTGTAGCAGGGCTCTTAATTTTTTGTTTGAAGAACATCTGAATTTAAATTTTGGTGGGGTTCAGAAGGAATGTTGTCAAATCTTAGCACTGTTTTGTTGTATGTTATCGTCTCATAACAAGTTTAGGATGAAGAGCTTGTTTGGGAAGGATTAAAATCAGATTAAAATTGAAAAATTAGTTGTTATTGTTGACTTTTATTAGACAGGTGGGGTTCAATAACGGCTATATTTTCAATTTTAATTGGATTAAAATCATTCACAAACGAGCCCGAAATTGTTTATCACTTGACTTGCTAGTTGCTACTAGTTTATTATTTTTTAGTTTATGGATAATGTATTTGGTTTAGTTGAGAATATTGTCTCGTTTGTGTTTCACATACAGTGGTGGGTTTGTAATGAATGAAGGTCGATTATGATAACTAGACGTAATGTAACCATGCAGATAGTTAATGGTTTCAAAATCAACCAGTTTATGTCGAGTAGAAATATTTCTAACTAGGATATGGTTCGCTCCATGTTTGGCTGGCCAACCTCTCTCGTTGGGCTGCACTGGACTGGACTTTAGAGAGGCACGTGACCCATAAGGGTATTAAAAATGATTAATACAGAAGATCGGAAGTCTGAGGCCGACACAAGTCGGCTGGGCCAGGTGCAGCACAGGCTGTCACAAAATGGGGCAGTGCTTAACGCTGTCCGCTTTACAACTCTATCCTTCTAAAAACCGGGGCAACCAGTCAGTCCCACGTAACAGTATAGAATAACTATCAAAGGCATGCGAGATGAAAACTTGTGCTCTCTGTTTGTAGTCTGTAGAAGCAATCAGGAATGGTTGTATTTTTGGGTAAAATGAGTTGCACAACCCGAGGTTGGTGGCAAACTTCGTCTATTCGGACTCGAACTATGAGCCTGTTTGTCTACCATTATGGGGAGGAAAATGGAGTAATAAATAGTATTTTTTGGAGAATGTGTGGTTGAAATTTAAAGTAACTTTATTGGTTTATGTGTAGAATATTTTATTGGGTGAATATGTGGTGGAGATTGTTTACTGTAGAATCTTTATTGGTTTATGTGTAGAATATTTTATAGAATGAATATGTGGTGGAGATTGTTTACTGTAGAAAATGATTTTTTAGATAATGGTAGACAAACAGGGGCTATATATCATTGAATTCCAAATTATTGAGATTTCCTCCAATTCTTCTCTCCTCTCCTGAATTCTCTTCTCCATCCTCCTTATTCTAAATAAAGAACATTAAATAACATTGATCCACGACAACATATGATGGACATAGATTAAGATAAAGATTCCCAAGGTTGAACAATCACTAATAATCAAAAATGTTAGTTTTCATAATGAATACGAAAACAAATCCTCCTGGCTACATGTAAAACCCCATAAAAAATGTAGTTCTTCCACTGAGTTACTGAAAAATAAAGTCAGAAAAATGTTTCACTTTTTCTTCTTTGGTGGCCGTTGATCTTTCTCCTCATCATCGTCATCGTCGTCATCATCGTCATCATCATCGCTGCCCCCATCTCCATTAGTCTGAACCTCATCATCAGAATCTGCATCATCATCATCCATATCGCTCCCTTCTCCAGAATCGTCATCCTCATCGTCGTCGTCGTCGTCATCATCGTCGTCTTCGCCATCATCAACACATTCACCCAAATTCTGGCTTTCCTCCGACATTATATCTTTCTTGAGGTTGCCAAACAGCAAGCTGCAGATGGAATCAGATAATCCAATGATAAGTTGTTTGTCCTTTCATTTTTTATTCTCTGACAAATAAGTAAAATAAAATTAAAACTCAAGAAGAAAAATCCCCATACCTCTTCTCCGTCTCTGATGGATGTGGAAACACATAAATATCAAAAGGCAGAGTTCCGCTCTGAGGAGAAAAAGGAAATCTTATTAAAGTTCATCGATAAACTATCCCAGACCAGTATGTACACAGCAAATTTTCATTTTAATCTTAGTGAAGGGGTATAAAGATTGCAACGATACCATAAGCCCAATAGGATACCACTTTTGACTAGTTTCAGTCTGAGCAAGATGCCAAACAAAAAACGGCAGAATCTGAATCCTATAAAGCACTTTCCAGTGACAAAGCACCTGAACATCACTCTAGTTGAAAATAATAAATTAATAAATAAATGCATCTACATCTATCATTTGCATGCCTGAGGTATTTCTTAAGTAAAATATGTAAGTTTTGGTGAAGAAAACTCACTTCTAGTTTTTCCTCATAAGCTAATTAATTTTTATGAAAGATTTCATAAAAAGACCATCATACTAAGAAGGCAGGTAGTTCCAAGAGGGCAAAATGTTCATGGTGATCAGGGATGCAAAATCTGTACAATAGTGTCTCCTTTGATTCTTTTAATGTTCACTTTTCAGACAGTTCTCTGAAACATGCCAAATACTTCTCCAATGAACACATATCAGACATGTTTGTCCAAAAAAATTTCTAGTACTCGCAAAATATGAAAACTTAGTACTCCCTAACACTATAAAATTGATGTATGCATGTCCAGATCCAGTTATTTAACACAAATATGGCAAAGAGCACTAAGTTTCCATGCTCTAGGAGCACTAGAAATCTTCTCCCGTTTGCTCGTCTCTAGAAAGTTTGGAGTGGAGATAAAAAATTTAATACTCAATTGAACTTTCGTAAAAAGAATATGGAAATATAAGAAAATCACATATACGAATTTATAGATCGTATGTTAAGTTTATATACAAATTTACCCCTGTTTGGTAGGGATTAAAATCAAATGCGTGGTTAAAAACTTGTGAAACCCATAAAATATGCGATTAAAATTGATTGTTGACTTAAATTTAGATTAAAATCGGTATCAAACAGCGGCTTAACATCAATGATGTGGGTGAACAACATTTTTATCAATATGTATATTATTTTCACACACACACATAACAGAGCATCTAAGAACAAATGAATGCAATTGTTGAACTTCTCTATGCAAGTCCATATCATGCATTCAATCCTGTGCTTTATAATCCTTCGAATGTTAAATAAGATCGGCTCTTTTCAAAGAAGTCAAAGAAGATTTACCACAAGCCATTCTTGTATCTATATCTTGAAATACTGGACCAACTACTCTGGGTTTTGGCCTTTGGAACCGGTGGAACCCCAGGTTCACTTGAACGATGAATCAGGAAATAGACAGTTCAATCTTCATCTATATCTTAAACCATTTGGCATATCAGAATGGGAAATTCATACATACAAAGCCATGCTACCAAAATTCACAAAGCTATACAAGGAAAAAGAATTAACTAAACCAAACAGTAATTTGATTTTAATGAAGCACATATTTTCTAATCTATGATCCTGGGCAAGATGATATTCACATAAAAAATATATATTAGAATATAGATTCTACTTCGCTTGGAAATCTCACATCAACCAAACACAGCATTCTAAACAGAGACAAAAAAAAAGGCTAAAGTAAAATTCAAGACTACAAATAAGAATTAGAAGCAAAGCCTTCATTAGCAAAAATGTGAAATAAACCCAAAACTCAAGGAAAAAAGAAAAAAAAACACTAGAGAGTAAAGTGTATGAGAATGTACCAAGAAAAGAAGCAAAACAAAAGAATTCTGAGCAGCAAAAACCGCTCCAAGAACCACAGAGCCCATCATCCTCTGCAAAAAAGCACTAGCAGAGGACAGTTTCTCCACCTCCATTATTTTTCCCTTTTTTCAATTTTGAAAAAATCAGTAAAACAGTAGAGGTGGGAAAGAGAACTGCTGTGGGACTTGGAAGAGGGTTTTAGGTATTGCTGGTAAACCGTGAACAAGACAAATTTTAGGGTTTTGTACTTTCACGCATTAACTTGGCTTTTCCTGTCCAAATCCCAGGAAAACAGAAAACAAATATTGGTTATTTTCAGGTAATTTTATTCCCAAATATTGGTGTAAAATGAGACATTATTTACCATTAGTGATTCATCCTTTGGAATAAATTATAAAATGTCAAAATTTGTAGTGTGTGTTCACTCTTTTTAGGGTCGGTTGTGCTACGGTGACATTAATGTTGACGGATTTTTTGACAGCGTATGAATTGACACACATTTTTGTCATTGCTTTCAACAACACTTATAATAATCACTAACACATTTCTACACTTCACACAATATCAACATTAATAGTCAGTTCACTCAAACTTAATAAAATTATTATATAAACGATAAAATAATTAAAAATAGTTTAATAAGTTTGATTTAAGTAATTATATAAACGAGAAAATCAGTTGGTAACTGAACAATTTATGTAAGAGTGAGTTTGAATTGCAATGTCAGAAATATCTTAGTTTATTTCAAAACTCATTAATTCTTATACTTCTTTTCAACCACACATATATACAAGAAAATATTTTACACAAACCTAAAAAAATTTCATACTTTTTAACCACATTCTCTAAAAATTCTCTTTACGTTTGAGGAATTGTTCATTAATCATCAGTTGATGAATTTATTGAGCCCAACCAATCGGGTTAATTGGTCAATAGACTATTTCGAGAATTAATATGAGTGTAGATGAAAGAGAGAAGTTAGACTTTGCTTCAACTCACAGAATTCCGAGGGTTTGCTTTCTCCAAAAAAAAAGGTTGAATCCCTGCCCCTACCCTATCCTATCCTACCCTACCCTACCCTAGAGCATATACAAGTGTGTATCAATATTTTGCAAAATTTCTTGGCATGGGCTAGGGTTTACATAATGTCATAT